AAAAGACAGATGGGAAACTGAATGTGGCCTATTGTTTTATATAGCTATGGTTTAAAAAAAAATCTCTACTCAGAAGAAAAAGCCTCTGCTAGATGGCAGCTGTTGAATAGAGCGTGAAAAGCATGTTGCTAGAAAAACAAAGAAACCCGTACCACAATATAAATAGCTCAGCTCTATAGCCTTCTTCAGATGAAGGACGTGAGACTTGGGTTTTAAAGGCAGTTTATGAAATAATATCAAGAAGCCTTTTTAAAATTTTTGCTATTGATTTCCAACCAGGCTACAGCTATCAAAGTTTCAAATATTCTGGGATCTTGAGGCTTCACTAGCTGCATGTTAACCTCTTCCATGTGGCATGTGAACGTGGCTTGTTTAATTTTAAGACATAATTAATAGGCATTGTCAGGGACTCTGATTTCTGATCATGGGGGAGTTGGCAACCTTTTGTTGCTTTCATTCCAGGTTCTGAGAAACTGGCCAGATGCTATGTCCTACTACCAAACTGCTATGTGGAACACATCCTTCTTAGGATGCTTTCAAATCCTTTCTGGCCAACTTCATGACTCCTGCAGAAGTTCAGTTAGTTACAGTTTTACTTCATTTGCTATAGGTACAGAAAATGTTTCTGGACTTTGGAAAACTTGACTGAGATAAAAACTATTATTGTAAATAATTATTGTTACTTTTTTTTCTCCTATATTTGGCTTAGTTAGGAGGATACTGGAAGTGTCTCCATTATATATAAATTCTGGTCCAAGCCCTGCCACGAATAGACTTCTTGAGCCAGGGCTGTATTTCACTCTCCCTGGGTCTGAGTTGCTTCACCTTTGTAATAAGACATTGGGCTGAATGATCTGATCCTTTCTCACTGGAAAATCCATGGTTCTGTGGGTCTTGGTATGTGTAATCAATCACAAACTTTATGCTTCTTATAGCAGACCCTTGCTTGGTTTTCACAAATTAAAATGCATAGTTTGAAGATTTGTGAGAGTCCTTGAAGTTCTATGACAAGTAGCAATTTTTAATTTTGCTGAGAAACAAATTTTATTTGCACACACTGCAAGGCTATATGCAGAAAGGAGTCAGATTTATTATAACAATATTTAGCCCTTTACCTACCATTTGTATCTCAACAAAGTCTATGTCATCTTCTTGTTAGCAGTCTCAGTAAGGTTCCAATAGGATCACTTTCTTTTTTGTATATTTTGTATTATTCTACAGGGAAAATTGATAATGTAATATATTGTATTAAATTGAAAAATTAGTTTTATATATAAAATTTGAATTATATATCAGAATCACCTAAACATAGCTCTATGATGGAAATGAAAACTCTAAGGACCTTTGGAAATGCCCCATATACCTCCATAATTTCAATTTATATCAGCATTTTCTAATTTTTCCACCCTAAACAATCACAGATTCCAAAGGCTTTGATGCTTTATGTAAATCAATATGTGCATATAGTGTTTAAAATACATCCATTTTTATTTTCTAAACTAACAGAATATGTACATTATAAAACTGTTTAATAAGTGATATAAATTATAGTACAAATTATTCTAATAATTTCAAAATCATTTGCTGAATTTTAGAAATGCTTGATGCAATCTTTTGTTTGATATTACTATCACTAAGTAATGCTTCTATCTAATGATTTGGCATAGAGAACTACATTTAGTACTTTTATAATGATTTCTTCCATTTAACTGATTGTCACTAGGTGTCTCAATAAGTAATTTCTCTTCAGGCCAACATTGTTTATAGTGCTTACTCTTCCCTCAGTTTCTGTTAAATTAATAGTACATACATTTAAACACCTTCTAATCCATGTCCGAGACACTTATAGACTCAGTTTTCTACTATCAACTAACATATGACAACAATAAATCTGAATCTCCTATTTAATAGGATTAAACTGATCCTTCAGGTCAAATGAGAGGTGGCATAAAGTGGTGGTTAAAAGCATGGGCATGTTGCCAGGCTGCTTAAGTTGAAATCCTGGCACTTCTGTTTAAGTTTTAAATAAGCTCTTAGTGCCTCAGTTTCCTTGCCTATTGAACGAAGAAGACTCAGTTGTGTTGGAATGATGTCTGGCCCTAATTTATTGTTAACATTGATAATAATGCTGTCACTAGCTCTCTGATGTGAATTAAAGAGAGGTGATATTTAACTGAGAAGGTGGAGCACAAAGATTTTCACTCTTGGCACTCCCGTAGGCTCCGTCCATCTTCTGCTTCTTCCTCCTTTGCAAAAATCCCCACTCTGCTAGAAGAGTCAGCAGCCCCTGGTTTTCGGCTGAGGCTGCCCAATTCCTCCCTATCTATCAGCTCTCTCCATCTCTGTCCCTTCTTAAAGTCCTACAGAGGCTACAGTCTGCCCAAGCACCGTTTGAAACAACTGGAGTAGGACCCAGTGTTGGACAGCCACACCTCATGGGGACAGATGGACTGCAAGCACTTGCCCTCCCAGATGCTAGCACTACCTTTCAGGATGCCACCTTGACTTTTGCTATTTGGTATTTGTAGGTAAAGGGAAACAGAAGGGCCAGTTCAAGAGCTGCGGTAAGTGAAGTGAATCATCTGGCAGTCTAGCAGACTGGCTGGGGACATTGTGGCTCTAAATTTTGCCTACCTCGAGGTCCTTGTACATTGGGACACAGAATGGACATGGGATAAAAGAAGTCCCTTGGGAATTGCTAGGTGGGGAGCCCACATTGTTGCCTACAGGGAGATCTGATAGTTTGGCCAGAATTAGCACTAATTATAACAGCTGCCAACCTGAGAGAAGAATCAGAGTCCTAAAGGCTCCTCATGGACACAGAACTTAATTGCTTAGTTTCTAGGGAGGTCTGAAACAGTCTCAAGAGAGCTAGAACAGCTGGATGGTAAAGGTCCTGGGATAGGGAAGAGTTTGAGACAATAATCTAAACATACAGAGACATGCTTCAACAACAAGAAAAGCCACCTCAATGTGTGTTGGCTAAAACTCAGTGCAATCTAGACTAACTAGGGAATTTCCACCTAGAGGATATTCTTCTATCCTTCAGACATAGGCTGGTATTCTAGTGCAATACTGGAACCTCAAAGAATCACAGTGCTAGTATCTATTTTCAAATATGACTTGGTTTTAGAAGGTATTTATTAAATGAAAGACTGGATGAATGAATGTACCTATAGAAAGAAATCTTTTCCTGTCTTGCCTTTCTGAAAAGTGTGAACTACTTACTATCAGAGATTACTTGAACATACCTTATGCTTGAGGTGTGTTGAATGCTTTCTCATCCACAGTGAAATAGAGGACTAGTGAAATAATCATTGGCCTTGAAGTCAAATATATCATAATTCAAATCCCAGTTTTGTTTTATACCATCTTTAATGACCATGGACAAATCATTTCTGCTTTCTGAGACTATGAGACAAAAAGACTCATTTTCTCATTATTAAAAATAAATAATGTATACTTTACAAGGCCATTAGGAAATTAAGGAATGTATATAAAGTAAATATACCTAGTACCCCCAAAAATAATAATAAGTAGTACTTGTTTGTTGGAGGCCGGCTCTGGTTGGGTCCAGGAGTCCCTGAAGGATGGAGGTGTCGGGGAGGGACAGACAGACAGACAGACAGACAGAGAGACAGAGAGAGAGCCCTGAGAATCTTTCTGGTCATCAGGCAGGCATCTCTGCTCTGACTGGGGCTCAACTTTATTTTATAATTAAGTGTTTGGGAGATGGCAAAGAAGTGGCATTTGCCTTAGACAATGATTTCTGATGACAAACTTCTTTGATATGTAAGAATTTCCCAGAACATAGATTTGTAGAAGACTCCTGCAAAACCTTTATCAATAGTGATTGAGGTAGGTGATTTAGATGCTTATCCTATGGGGAAGGAAGGTATCTTTAGCATACCAGACAATGTTTTTAGCATAAAAATGGTAAAGTTATTTCTTTGTGGGCAGGGGTCAATAGGTTGTTTGTTTAAGGCAAAGTATCAAGAAAAGCAGGTCTTTCAGGAGACACCTCTGCTCTTATAATCACAAAAGTAGAAGTTCCTCAATAGGTTCCTTCACAGGAAGCAATCAGCAGATTCAAGGCCAGAATAAGTCACTCACAAATGCCTTGGGGGGTCGGTGCTCCAAGAAGAAACAATTAGGTAGGGGTGGATATCTGTCCTTAACTCTAAATTAGGCTCTTTGTCTCAGGGCCAGACTCAATTGTAAGTCTTATGTTCTTAGCCCCCTTTATTATGTAAGTCTTGGATCTGCAAAGCCCATAGGAGGAGCCTTTTGACAATCATCCACAATGCTTTCATCTGAAGTCTCTTTTGAAAAGGCAGGAATATGCTTTTCCTTAGGAGTAACCTGTGTGGGGAATATCGGTCTGATCTGGAATATTGTGAGGCCTGGTCAATACCCGCAGGCTCATTTCCAACATGAGCCAGTAGTAGCAGAAGGAGATACCAGTTTTGGTTTCTCATGGCAGGAGCTGTGCAAACACTGCCATTTCCTCTCTGTGACTGTCATCCAGCAGGGCCTGAGCGGCTCCCTGAACTTGTTGTATGTTGGTGTTGTTATTAACATATTACATTAGACTATAAGCCTTCCTTTGTCTGGGAAGGGAGTCTTAATATTCACTTCAATCTCTCATGACTTCAATTAACTAAATTCTGGTTTCTCTTCCATCTTACACGTCCAGGTTATAAATGTGTTGCATATTTAGAACCCGAGCCTGTTGGTCCAACAATAATTCATAACTCATTACTTGATAAACTTCTTTTTTCACAAAAATCTAGATGTTATTAAAGAATTCTCAGAAAATGATTTGGGAAAAGACTAGATACACAGGAAAAATATGCTTTCTGGTATATACCTTGCTGACGTGTCAAGCATCCTTGCCCATTCTTATTATGACAGAGTTAATACTTTTCATATGATACTATGCTTCACATTCCTCTAGAACTCAGATAATTATTTTACTCCATGTACCTGAGAATCCAGTTTCCAGGTTAAAAGGTTCGGGAAAAGGTTATTTTGTTCTGTAATCATATTAACACTTGCTGGAAAGAGAAAGACAGATATTCTAACACTGTTTGTAAAGCATTTCTCTTTGTCCAGATCATGCATTGGATTGAATTTTAGAAGGTCTTAACTACGATAAGCTACTTTTAGGAAACAGTAATAGTTAAATTTTTTTTTTATTTTTTATTTGATTCAACTTGATTTGACTAAGGGCTTTATGGGTACGTAAAAGGGACACGTTATCAAACTAAGATGGTTAGTGGGGCGCCTGGGTGGTTCAGTCGGTTAAGCATCCGACTTCGGCTCAGGTCATGATCTCACGGTTCGTGGGTTTGAGCCCCACATCGGGCTCTGTGCTGACAGCTACCTCAGAGCCTGGAGCCTGTTTCAGATTTTATGTCTCCCTCTCGTTCTGACCCTCCCCTGCTCAAACTGTCTCTCTCTCTCTCTCTCAGAAACAAACAAAACATTAAAAAAAAAAAAAGTAAGATGGTTAGTTTCTAGCTAGCAGGAGCTGGAAGTAGCAGAGGGAGTAAGGGGGCTTTGCCTGCAGACAAACAGGTTACCAATGTGTGGTGACACATTCAGTTCTCTGTCATAAGATAAGGACTTACCCAAGGTAACCATTCAAAATTACAAGTGATTGTAAAAGCACAATTCAGTTGTATCCCAGTGTCATTTGGCCTTTCTAGATAACCAAGAAAAATAAAATAAACCATGTATGGTACATGTATAGAAAAGGCTAAAAAAGCACAAGATGCTTACATCATTCCTCCTAAGAATGAAAGTAAAGTTTCAGAGACCTTAGAACATTACGATTTTTAAATCCTGGTTAAGTCAATAACTTTCTTGTATATGTCCAATTGCTGTTGCATAAGTGCAGTTTCCCTATACAAGGTAAAAAACTATTGTTTAAATCTCCTTATTTATATATAAAAAAAAGATTTATAAATCTAAAAATGTGAAGAGGGGTGCCTGGGTGGCTCAGTTGGGTAAGCGCTGACTTTAGCTGAGGTCATGATCTTGCTGAGTTTAAGTTCCTCATAGGGTTCTGTGCTGACACCTCAGAGCCTGTTCTCTGTTTCAGATTCTGTGCCTCCATCTCTCTCTCTGCCTCTCCCCTACTCAAGTTCTCTCTCCCTCTCTCTCTCTTTCTCAAAAATAAACATTAAAATTTTTTTAATATAAAGAAAACTCATCAATGGAAAAGAATGCATTATTAGAAGATGCTGAAATCACTATTATAAAATCAATCTTGTATGAAAATAGCTCCAAACCTAATATTATGAGGAAAATTTTTCAGAAATTATGTTCCTATAATTTATGTCATTAGGCTTCCTGGAACACTTAAAATCAAAGTCAGCAATGTAAAATTTGAATTGAATATAGATTCCTAAATGATATACAGAAATGTATGAAAAAAGAACATTTAAAAATTCAAATGATAATACATTTGGATCAGATAAACTTATATTTTAGGTTTTGTGGTGACTTCCTTTATTTTCTAACTAGCAAAAGAAAAGCACACTTTCCTCTCTTTTATTATTTTATAGGTAATGCTTGAAAGCAAAGAAGATAGGTGATAAAACAGTGAAGGATTAGGTAGAATTACAGGAAACTGATAAAGCTGAGTGAACTACAAAAGAGTAGTTTGAATCTGAAAAGTAAATAGAGAAGAAATTAAAAACAGATCCAAGTCATTGAAAAGAATTTTCCACATTTTAAAAAACATTGGTTATTACATAATGTGAAATACATTTGGAGCTTCTTTGCGAATTCCTAGTAAATTCATAGGAAATTATTCCTGCCATATGAAAGGATGCACATTTTATGAATACAGTTATGCTAAAAATATCAAATGAAACTTTTGGTAATGCTTATTAATATGAATTGCATTTCCTGACATATAATAAAAAGAAGTATATAATCTTGAGCAGATAAATGGATACTCTGATGGTAATTACTATCACAAATTTGCACAAGCGCAAATGAGTTTTTATCTAAAGGCCTTGATATATCATTTATGATAAAAGTTTTGTGGGGTTTATGACAAATATTTCCATTTACACATAGTAATGAAGAAAGCCAAGCATAGAAAAGACTTAAAATTGCTAGCATGTCCTTTGCCATGTCCTACAAATACATGGATTTATCAGTCTCTTACTGATAGAATTACAGTTAAATTTAAAAAGAAAAAGCTTTCTTATTCCACTTTATAATTATTTTCTAACTTGAAAGGAGAAAAACAAAAATTTGATGAAACTATAAATGTCTTTTTCCACATAGAGTACACTCCCAGCATGAGCTTAACTTGTCTCTGACCACTGAAAGTTTAAAAAAAATAAAGAGAAAAGTACTGGAAATTGGTAATATATTTTCTTACAAGAAAAAAATGCTATACTTTCATATTTTTCATAAGCTAATTATATTAGAATACATGATATTTTTTAAAATGATATAATGTTTTTAAATCTCTTAAATTTACATTTTTTACCCAAAACTTATAGTTTAATTTCCCTACCTCATTCTCAGTCTGTACACTGGGGAGATAATCAGAAATAAAATTAAATTTATGCCTTAAAGGGTAGTAGTAGCCTATGGGAGAGATAATGCATGTACATATAAAATAATAAAATATAACAGTAGAAATTATTCTATCATTAAAGCTTTAATGAATTATGTAGACAATAAATGAAATTTCACAAGAGCATGAGAACTTTAAAAGCAAAAAAAAAAATTATCAAAGATGAGATCAACCATAACTAAGCAGAAAATTCAACAACTCCTTTTAAAGATTTTACTAAGGTTGTCCTTAAACCAAGATAGACTAAAATGATTATTACTGACTATGATTTATTGGGTGGTAAGGGAGGACTTTTTGTCCAAATGTAATACAATGATACTTCACATACTTTTAGTAGAAGACCAAAAGTTTTTCATAGTAAGAGTTAAATTTAAATATGTAAGCAAAAGTGGTGACCTTGGTAGTACGGTAATTTAAAATCACAATGTGGTATATATGTATATAATATCAGATTCACCCCTAAATGGACGCTTTGACTCAGGTATTAGGGAATCACATGTTAGCACAGAATGATAAAAGAAAAGAAAGTCTGACGATCTAATTTTGTTACTTAACAACATAGCTAAAGGCTAGTTGTGATTTCAAATAATATAATGTCTCAATGAACAGTATTGGGAAAAATAGTTACTGATATGAAAAATAAGAAGTAACTTTGAATCTCTACCTTTCTCATTTTCCACCAAATTTCAAATGAAAAATAATTAATTTGTTAATTAATTAAAAGTGCTAACAAAGCATCAAGAGTTTTTGTTGTTGTTATTATTTAGTTTTTTGGTTTTACATTTTGGAATTAGGTTTTTAAAAAAGGGATATATGTCTCTAAAGCTAGAGACAAAGGAAAAAATTGGGTCTACCTCATCTAACAAAAATACACATCTTCTGAGAAAACACAATTAAAAAATACAAACTAGAAAAATGTCTGTAAGCTATGTAACTGAACAATGCTTACATTAATGATAATTTAAAAAGCTTGTAGCAACTAAAGATAAGCAGAACAACTTTTGTCTGAGAATGCTGTTCAGTGTCCCCAAGCTGATCTTAAGAATAGAAGCCACATGTAAGTTATGTGAGAGGTGCTAAAAACAATGGCAATTGACATGGAAAGGGAGACAGGGAAGAGAAGACAGCTAGTAAAGGTAACATTATCATAGCAGCTACCACTATTGGAGACAATTGTTTGAAACTATGGGGAAATTTGGGGAAACTGTAGAACACAGGTTTCACAGTTACAAACACAAGAGGTGAGGAAGGTGGGTTATATAACAACAACTCCTGCCAACTATTGATGGAAAGCTGCCTTAAAAAGTGTTAATTCTCTGGGGCTTCTAGTCGAGATGTTGAAGGTCAAAGAGGCCTCTGTGACTTCAAAGAACTCCCTGAAGAAAATAGATGCAGTTGCTGGCAGCTGGGAGTTTGGCTGGCACTCACTGAAACTGTTAGTTCCAAGAGAAATAGCAGAGATTGTAGGGGTTCTGCTACAAGAAGCAAATAACAGTAACTCTCTAAGTAAAATTAACTGGTAGTTTACATTAAAAATACATAAATGCTTGAAGGTCATGAAAAAGATAAATTTCATGAGTAATCAAGTAATGCAAATTTTAAAATATTTGAATTTTGCATATTAAAATTTTATTTTTATGTAAGTCAAGTCATTATGTTGTTCATCTTAAACTTAGACCATGCTGTAGGTCTCAATAAAAAAGGAATAAATGTAAAAAACTAAAGTAATATTTTTTAAAAATGTGAGAAAAATACTTGCTCATATGTTGGTGGGAATGCAACTGACAAAAGCCCCATGGAAAAATCAGTCAACATATTTTATGTACATTGATCTAAGGGTTCACTTCCTGACTAGTCTATTTACAACTGCAACTCTATCTTTGACACTTCAGTATTTCCATGCTTTTGTTTTCTCCGTAGTATATTATCACCACCTAATAGCTATATATATTTTTTACGTATCAATTTAGTTTTATTATTTGTTCCCTTCAGTAGACTATAAGCCAAATGAGGGCAGGGATTTCTGTCTGCTTTACTCATTGCCACCCAGAGTTGAGAAGAGTGGTTAGCACTTAAGAGATAGCCAATAAAATTTGCTGAATGGATGATTTTCCATAAGTATATCGTTAGGCAACAATAGAAAAACTGACCACTAATACATCCAAATAAAGTTTATTTTGATATTGTTTTGTAATAGTGGACAAACAGAAATAACATAGTGACCAAATGAAGGGACTCTTTACATGATATACATGTATACTACATGGATTAAAATGATAATATGCATCTATATAGTTTTGATATGAAAAAATAGGGATTCTACATCATTAAGTTAATAAAACAGTTTATCAAATAGCATTATTCAATATGATTCAATTTTGGCTAAGCATGTGTTTTTAGTGTACATCTAATCTGGAATAATATGCAGAGAAATAGTAACTCTTATTTCTGGCT